GTCTGGAGATAATTAAGTGATCAGGGTGACACCAGGAGTTTACAATACTGAACCTCTTCACAATATTCTAATTTTCTGAGACACTGAGTTTTGTTTTTTTCATTAAACTAAAGCCATAATCATCAAAATTACAAGAAATAAAGGATTTAAATATTCCACTCTATGTGTAATAAATCTATATGTGAGTTTCAATTTCTAAAAATGACTGGCAAAACAATATAACTTTTTCATGATATTCTTTTTTTTTTTTTTTTTAGATGTCCCTGTAAGTAGTCAAATTGTCCAGACTCTGACAGCTCCTGACAGGGACTGATCTCCTCTGTGAGGGGGACACACAGACTTCATTTCCTGATTTTCAGTCATGCTCTCATTCTGAAGCCAGCAGGGACACAATGAAGACTGCTACGCTTCGGTGTCACCTCTGTGCCTTGCACTGTGCATATGTATTAACCTTATTGTGTGAAATAATGAAGGTATGCAGGGAGGTGAGAGGTAAGGACACTGCAACTGTAGAGAAAAACAGCAATATTGTCTTCCCTGAAAGGGCCAGTAAAAGACTGTCGATGCTCTGTGGTGTGTGGGTGTTCAAGTGTGTTGTTTTTCAGCAACTGTGAAATGCTATAAGTATGTGTAGGCACCGGGGCAGTGCCTGTGTGTCCGTCTGTAGCTGATTGTCAGTAAGTGTTTCATCTCTGAAACCTCCCCAGGATGCAGTATGCACGCTGAGTTTCAGGCCGGTGTGTGTTCATCTGTGTTTGTGGTGGAGGGGTGCACACTACAGTACGTGTTCTGCCGGTAAACTCGGCATTAGTAGCAAGAGATTTTAGGCTTGGTCAGCTATGAAAACACAACTACGTGACAAGAGTGCCGCCGCTGCTGCCACCACCGCCCACAGATAACTAGCCCTTATCCGCTAATTAAAACCCTCTATCACTCCATGTCTCACTTGGCAATCTCCCCATCCTTCAGTCTCCCCCCAACCTACAGTTTTCACAGCAAAATCTGTCCATCTCTCATTATCCACCTATCACTCTCTTTCTCCTTGTTTGGCATTCAACCGTCTTCTTTCATCAGCAGGCGCAGTTGGCTACCAGTAGGCGGTGTGCTGTTTTGTTGTGTTACGGGTGGTCGAGGTATAACAGGGTCCTGTGGGTCCTTCAGGGTCCACAGTCACAGCAGTCCCTGTCATATGCCTGAGGAGCCGCCGTGATGCTAACGAGTAGAAGATAGTTTCTTAAACCCCACTGCCCCATCTCTTAGACACACATCCTCGCTCCAGGAGAGCCATCTCTCTCTGACAGCTCATTGTTTACTCCCGTAGGACTTGTAGCTGGGATCTACATTTGCAGCGAGAAAAGTCACCACTGTTTTTATCCAATGATTAAGCCATTGTGGTGGGATACAAAATACAAAATTTCAAGATTAAACAGGGATTGTCACAATTTGACTCGGAAGCATCTGCTGCTGCAGTGTGTGTCATCTTGTGAAAACTCTTCCTATGGACGCTCATCATCATTCCGGCAGCTCGTGCGGCCTGTTTAGTGAGCAAAATTAGCTTGTCTCTGTGCAAACAGGCTTCTGAAGAAAGAGCATGAAGGCCAAAAGCTAACAAAGTAGCTCCCCCACTCACTGGGGGTCTCCAAGCTGTTGTGAAAATAAATCCCTCTCCGCATGGTGGAAATGCATTTGTAATTTTCAAACGATACAATATCAATAATCCAAGGAGCTAATATTGTCGGACGGCACTCTGCTCCTCCCTTGTTTATTTACTGATGTGAAACTCAATTTCTCTGCCTCGCTATTGTCTCAAACCTCTCACTCTGCCTCCTTCCCCCCAAACATTTCTTCCTCCCACCCCCACCCATTTTACTTGCTTGTTCTTTTTGTTCGTCATGATTTCAGCCCCAATCACTTGAGATCAGGGAGTGGAAATCGGTTTGGGCTCATCCTCATGCTTCTTGCCTGATGATCTCTGAAGAGTTGTTTGTGTTATGTTGGACATCTGATGGAACCTCCCTCATCCCCCACCACCACCACTTTCCCCCCTCCTGCCTTGGGAGTGTAAATCCTGTTTAAAAGCGTATGTGGATGTGAGCCTCTGTTGCTTCTCTAAGCAGATTTGCAGGGAAAAACATTGCACTGGTCCATGGTCACACTGTTTGAATAAATAAATGGATAGGAAATGGGGAGGGGGATCAAGGCGGGTGAAGGGTCCCATTAGACATAATTGGATCTATAGTTGTGGATTATCACTCCTGTGTGGCTGGTCTGGTGCTATGTATGCTATGTGTGAGAGAGTCCGAAAGAAACAATAGTTGGAGTTGAGAAGACCAAACAGACAAATGTTATGTGATGCATGTGTTGCTCTCAGTGTTGTCACTCCATATTAATGTTAAACTGAGCGCTGAGTAGTTCATTACACACTGATGAATTATTGATTAGAGATGAATTAGGAATGAAATCACACAGTAACGTACAAGCATTGTCAATACATGGAAGCACTTAAGTTATTTCATCTGGAGTACAAACAAGCACGTTTTTGTGCGAGAAGCCTACCAATTAATTCCATTGAGTTCACACATGGTGAACTTGCCTGGTAAAATTTTTGGCGTTTTGTACATACACCAGTATCATATTCAGATGGTTAGGACCAGTGCTAGAAACTTGTAGCATAGAGATACAAGCAGCTCTTAGATCATATCACTGGTGAACCATGTAGTCCGTGGCTCTACATGCACATAAAAAATGGATGAGGGACATAATACAAATGTTTCAGGCAAGGTTTTTAGAATTAAAAATTTATTCTAGAACATTGCTAATTATTGCAACAGCCTCGGTTCGTTCTATGGCCGTTTGTTATCTAACAGCCATATCAGTGCTGCTACGCACTCACTCTCTGTACTCCCCCAAGGTGGTTATTCCTCAGTGGCAAATCTAGGCTCGTGTTGTGCTCAGGTGGCACATGCTGACTTGTCCTAGAGAATGCCAAAGTGCCTTGTTTGAAGTGAGCTTGGCTCTAGGAAACAACTTTCAGATTTCGACATCAAAACCCAGAATCAAACCCCCTAATGGGAACCCTGCTGTGGGTAAGAATTAGCAAGAATAACCCCTGCCAGCAGGCTTACTTCTCTAAATGCAGGGGTCTCAGAAGACAAGGGTGGAGGGTGGAAAGCATGCAAGGTAGGAGAGGAAAGGGAAGGATAAGTGGGAAGGAGACAGAGCAGAGATGGACTGATACAAAACATAGGGCATGTACAAGAAAAGAAGGGATTCAACAGGAGAGATGGTTGTTTCTGTATTGTTCACAGGTTTATACAAGCAGGACCACATGTAAGCTACGCATTCGTCACACTGTGTACAGTCTGTGGTGTGCCCTTGTACTTTATTGCATGCTTTCATTTTTGCATGTAAGAGTGTGGCAGACAAAAAAAAGAAGAAAAAACGACGAGAGCCTCTGCGGAGACAGACAGCAGTCAGTGCCTGCAGCAAGCTCAGAGCTCACAGGCTAATGTAAACTTGCACCACACTGTACCAGAGAGAGGGTGACACCAGTCAATCCCATTCTGACAGGGCAGCTGAGATAATAGCTGGCTTTGATTCCCTGCAATAACTCCTGCCAATCAAAATGAAAGACATCATGATTACAGGGAACCACAAGCTTGTGTCATAAGAGCTTACTGTATGCTACAGTGCAGCTAGCATAATTGAATGCAAAGTGTGCGTTTCTATTTAAAATATTTTGTTGTGCATTGGACTATCCCTAAAAAAACAAAGCCAAAAGTGGACAGAGCAAGAGACGAGCAGAGAGCTTTTGTAGATAATCTGTGCTATAATACCGTCTGCAGGGGTTGAGTGAGATGAGCATGCAAATGCCTTGGCCCACTTTATGACGGTTAGCTATCAGGGGTCAGTGGGCGGTCTCTCTCTCTGTGTACAGGTGCATGCATACAGGGAATGAGGAGGTTGAGTACAAGGCCAGGCGAAGGAGGCTTTCAGGTGGAATAAAAGCATTACTGCAGCGGTGGAAAGGTCAGCTGTAAACTTGTATCAAACTAGTGGTGATCACCCTGCGCTGCAGATCTCTGAGGTATTGAGCAGGCATGCTCTAATGGCTTTGATATATGGAGTACAGAACTCCCTGAAGAGGTCAATACCATAGCACTTTGTCTCTATGAGCAATGACCCTCTCAAGCTCCATTTAGAAGCTTTATAACCACAGGAAATAGGCTGGATAGGCCTCAAGCAGGGTATGGTGAAAAGGGAACAAATATGAATGAAGTATTTTCTAATCACTTCTTCTGTGCTCTAATCATTGTCCCAATCAATCATTACTTATAGCGTTTTAAGTGTACGGTGTTGGACGTTATCAGAGGTAGATTCGGATGTGATTGAGAGAAAAACAAGTGAATCTGAGCCACGATAAAAGAGCTGATCTATCATCCCTCCTTTTGGGAGGCCAATGACGCTGAAAAGGCTGTTGTCAAAAAGTATTCCATCAGCACTTCACAAAGATGGTGAGCCACAGCGTTTAATGAGAGTGACAGACACGGGGCCCAGTGACAAATTTGATGATTTATCTGCTGCTTGTGAACAGTAGCCTGGGAAAGAGAGATAAAGCTTCAAGTTAATAGTGAAAGCGGTGACCGCAAGTGACGGAGCACTAAACTGTGCTTGATTTGGGGCAATTTCTCTTCAAACACATGTGGACACGACGACCACTGTTGCTGCTCCTTCTACTCATATTGATTGGCGCTAACCTTTGGTGTGAATTATGAAAGAGGCTTTGCACTGTTTAGGAAAGCTTGCTGTAATAGATAGGAATGAGGAGATGTGACAGTGTTGTTCGACGGTGCTCAATAACAGGCTTCATGTCCTGTTTTTCCTCCTTCCTGTCTGTTCATTTGTTTTCACCTCTTCTCCATCTTTTTCCTTCCATGTTGTCCTCACCTCTGTCTTCCTTTCTTCCCGTCCATGTCCTTCACCCTCCTCGCTTTTTGCAGACTCTTTGCTCTGTGCTGTGACTTTGCTGAGTGACTAAGTGGAGCCCTACAAGCCATGGAGGAGATGGATAGTAAACCTTACCAGCCATTGTCTAAGGGGCGCCATGAAATGGAGATGTCCTACACCAGCTCATCAGATGAGAGCGAGGATGGCCGCACTCATCACCGCTCCTACACTTCTCGTGAAACCCTGCCTGACTACACGCATGAGCTTCGCCTCACACTCGGTTCACATCGGGAACGACAGAGCAACTACAGCCAACCCCAACCAGGTACTTAGATGTGTCTATCTACTTCACAATAACGTCTGCACACAATACGTCAGATCTAATAAATAGGAACAGAATAAGAAATACAGCACACACACACCCCACACACACACATAAGTTGGCCCCTAAAAAGACCTATGTGAATTACTTATTACAAGCCCACAATGAACCAGTAGGACAGTCAAAGGCAGCCAATTACCTCTTCTCCCACAGCTAAACTAGGTCAACCCCAAACCACTCTGGCCTCACCTGGGGTGGAACACCACCCTTCATTACACACACACAGATAGACACAGGTTTATGCAGGCACACACACTCATGTACACACACATATCAAAAAATCCCTCCCTGCAAGTGACAAGAGGAGAAATAGGCCAACATGTGTTGTGATGGATGGTCTTTATGCAGGTCATGTGTGGTGTCAAGAGAGAAACTGCACCTCATCAGGAGGACGCTACTTTGCAGGGTTTCCAGTGATCAATAGATGCTCTTTGTGCTTCTCTCAACCTCCTGCTACTCTGCAAGAGCTACCCAAAATGCTAACAAGTAGCATTAACCATTCATAATAGTCACAGGTCCTGACAGGCAAGCCACCGCTGGGATTTCATGGTTTGAATGCTACCTGCAATGGATTTTGTCATTCTGTTTGCCATGCAGCTACCCTTCAAAAGACATTATTCATACTTCAATATCTTCTAGAAGAGAATGGTCTCAGAAAGCACCCCCCCACCACCACCACCAACACCACCACCACCACCTTGCTTAGCCTTACCGAGTCTAAAACAAACTATTTCTCCTGATGTCAGTGTCGTATGGTGAGGTGCAGAAGACCCCCTAAGCAGCATTTTAAAAGTCAGTGACAGCCGGTTCTGCAAGGCACAGCTGTTCATCTTTGGGCAACAGAGTTATATATAGTTATACCCTTTCTAAGTAACCAACTGTTAAGGAGGGACATTGCCTCCAGTGACGTTTTTAATGGATGACGGTGTTCCTGACAACGACCAGCCTGTTTGCCCCTCCTGTAGTTCCACACCCACGTTCTTCATATTTTCCTTCATCTTTGTAACCGACACATCTTGCTCTCTCCTCCCATCCCTCCCATATTCCAGCTGTTTATTTTCCCTGATATCTTTGATTTTTTTTTTCTTCACGTCACCTTTTTTCCCAAAATTGCACCTGTCTCTGCTAACCCTGTCTGTGTTAGAAAGACGGTGTTAATAGATGGACTGATAGATTAACATCTCGACAATTGTTTCACAGAGTGCTGGAGAGCTGGCCAACATAATTAGTTTTTGTGAGCTTGTTAAATTAATTAGCTGTATAAATTAATGGATTTACGCTTTATAACATTCTGTTTACAAAATCATAAATTTGTTACAGCAGAAATGTTTAAATTATTCAAAAGAAGCTGCCATACAAGAATCTGATCAGTTGGAAACATACAGACGTGAATAAAAACATTTCTCACCCTAAAAATGATTAAATATTAATATTCTACCGATGTATTGATGCTAACAAGAATTATAATTTTAAATGTTGCAGGCAAATCCAAATTATGTCTTCTGTTTGAATTAGTTCTCACTAACATGTCACACACTGGTCCTTACAGAAGAACTACATGAAATTACCATGATTTTCTCATGTGACCTCATCTTGAAAATGTTACAAAGACACATGTAAAACATGAGCAAGACATGTTTTGCATGGTAGTTTAACGTGTTCTTGCAACTGACTCTCCACATGTAAAATTCAACTGTTTGTATATGTGTGTGTGTGTGTGATTTTTTATTTTTATTTTTTTTTATGTGGTGTGGATTACTACAAACCAGTGTCATTTTATTTCAAATTGTAAGGCTAACATGTTTTTCAATATTGAAGTGTTGAGTTTCTTAAAACCTCAATATTCAAAGTGTGATAATAGAAATACTATTAATAAAAAAAAACTGTGTGTGTAATTCAAAAAGGAAAAAGTTATTAACTTCTATTGGTGAAAACAGACTTTTGGAGATTTTCATATGTTGTTTCCATTCAGTAGCTGCTACAGTGGAAAATAAATCTAATCATGATTAGGTTTAGGAAAACATCTTAGCTTCTGAAAACATTCCATCTTTATCAAGCAAGTTTGGGTGGAGGCATATGTATACATATATTTATATATAATACACACAAATATATATATACATACATAT